GGGCACATATTCAGGGTCCCGCTCATCATCAGAGCCGATGATCAAGCATGCAGATGGGGCAACAGACTTGGATCGCCCGCGTGCGTAGGCTCGGTCTTGCTTGGGTGCCATAGTAGATAGTACCTGCAAAGGATCATTATTAGTACGAGTAGTGTCAAACATGACAGGCAAGCCCATACAACATAAAACATTTAAAATAGTGAGTTAGAGATAGTGAAACTGTATCACACGACGGGCTAGATGACGGCTCGTCGAGGATATGACAGACCGTCATGAGGTCCGTCGTGTTGTACTTAGTCTATGTATATAGAAAGAACCCTGAAGGAGGGGTCTCTGACCATTATGACGGTCAAGCAGGACGGACCGTCGTAAGAGTCCGTCGTAGGACACTTAGAGAATGTTGGGGGACCCTTATCAGAGGGGTCTCTGACCATCATGACGATCGTGCAGGATGGACCGTCGTCGGTATGATGGTCCATCGTAAAAGTCTGTCATAGGACACTTAGAGAATGTTGGGAGACCCTTATCAGAGGGGTCTCTGACCATCATGACGATCGTGCAGGATGAACCGTCGTCGGTACGATGGTCTGTCGTAAGAGTCTATCGTAGGACACTTAGAAAATGTTGGGAGACCCTTATCAGAGGGGTCTCTGACCATGATGACGGTCGTGTAGGACGGACCGTCGTGGGTATGACGGTCCGTCGTAGGACACTTAGAAAATTTTGAGAGACCCTTAGAAACAGGGTCTCTGACAACCAGGGTTCTGCAGGACGGACCGTCGTGAAGACGACGGTCCGTCACAGGCGTCGTTGGGCAGGGGTGCTAGGGCTTGTGCAACGGACCCTACGCCGTCGTGTGTGCGACGGTCCGTCATCGGGGTCTCGTTTTGAGTAGCAGTGTTAGAACTGGGGGTACCCTACGCATCCCCGATGAACCCACATGGTCTTGTAGTGTTGTGGACCTATATGTGTCTATCCCAACGACCTAGGAAACTACCAAAGAAAAATCACCTATGCCTAGGGTTATCAACATGGCACATACGAACATTTTGAGCCTAGGTTTAGACATAATCATCTAGAGGAATCAGTATACGACTAAGAACTAAGGTAATACTAACCACAAAACCAAAATGCAAGCTAAATAAGTATAAATGTAGAGACACATACCTTGGAAATGGAGAAGAAAACAAACGGAGAATGATTCAGTTGGCAAGGTAGACACCTACAGCAGCAGCACCGAGCAGTGGATGATAAGTATAAGGCTTAGGAGGATTTTGGGAGCAATGATCAGTGAGGGGAAGTGTGGAAGTTGAAAAGAGAGGGGAGATGAGGGGAATAAGGAAGTAATGGGGTGAAATATGGAGGGGGGAGTATAAACGGTCAGATTTTGAAAAGGGTCCAGCCGGGTCGGGTCGGGTAGAATTCATTAATCACGCAACAGTTCCCCGACGACGGTCCGTCGCATTTGTGACGAGCCATCGTAGGTTCCGTCGTGTGTGCCCTAATATTCAAAATCACAGAAATACGTACCTGGTGTGATGGATGCATATGACGGTCCGTTGCATACGCAACGGTCCATCGTTGTATCCGTCAGTGGCTACTGCGGAGTAGTTTTCTGCAGAATTTCCTGGTGATGTGCCTGCAAATTTAAAACCCATTAATAGAAAAAATGCTACCATTATTAAAAAGACGATAAGTATTGGGTAGCCTCCCAGCAAGCGCCTGATTTAATGTCGCGGCACGACTGGGGCCACTTGATTACTCAGACTTCATCAAGATGGTATGCCTCGATCACTTCATTCGCTGATTCAGCATGCCCGAGATAGATTTTTATGCGCTGTCCATTCACCTTGAACCGCACACCCTCCTTAGTTTCCAATTCAACTTCTCCATGAGGGAATAGTTGGGTAACCGTGTAAGGATCAGTCCATTTGGACTTGAGTTTGCCTGGAAACAAGCGCAATCTGGAATTGAATAGAAGCACTAAATCCCCGACCATAACCTCTCGTTTTTCAATTTTGTTGTCATGATACTTCTTCATCCTTTCTTTATATAGGGCTGAGCTTTCATAGGCTTTCAAACGAAATTCATCAAGTTCATTCAACCCATTTAACTGTTGCTCTACAGCTTCGCTCCAATCCATTTTTAACTTCTTCATAGCCCACATGTCTTTATGCTCTAACTCAACCAGAAGATGACAAGCTTTCCCATATACAAGTTGGTATGGAGACATACCTATGGGAGTCTTATAAGCTGTCTGGTAGGCCCAAAGAGCATCATCAAGCCTCCTTGACCAATCCGTTCTACTAGCATTCACTGTTTTGGACAATATCTGTTTGATCTCCTGAGTTGATACTTCAACTTGCCC